CTGCTCCTGCTGCTGCTGCTACTACTGCTACTACTCCTCCTCCTCCTGCCGCTGGTGCTGCTGCTGCTGGTGCTGCTGCAGCTGGTGCTGCTGCTGGTGCTGCTGCTGCTACTTCTACTACTACAAAACTCAACGCCCTACTTCTATTTCTACTCTGCTACTACTCCGAGTCTATTGCGTCTCCTGCGACCCAGGCAAGCTCAGACTCTGCAGGAAACCTTCTGGTTTCCAAACTTGCCACATGCTTCAACGAAAGAGAGACCGCAAGCTACACCGAATCAAGAACCACCTTCAGCGCCTCCGAACCCTAAACCCGAAACCCTAAATCCCTACACCCAAAACCCTAAACCCTAAACCCCAAACCCTACAGAAGCGCCCGGGCTTCCCCGAGTACCATCTACAGGGCTTATCGTCTTGAAAGGCTCCGGGCTTGTGACAAGTGCCCACGGCTCTGGGGGCAGGGTTCAGGGTTTAGGGGTTTAGGGTTTAGGGGGTTTCGGGTTTCAGGCTTTGGGTTTAGGCTTATTAAGTTTAGGGCTTAGGGTTTAGGGTTTCAGGCTTTGGGTTTAGGGCTTATTAAGTTCAGGGCTTAGGGTTCATTAAGTTTAGGGTTTAGGGTTTACTAAGCTTGGGGTTTAGGGCTCAGGGTTTATTGAGCTTAGGGTTTAGGGTTAGGACATCTCGGATGGTCATTGATCTAAACCCCTGCATGATGGACTTCTACAGGTCCCGGACTACAATGCCGCCTTCTTGGCCCGCCCTAGTCTTCATGTTCTAAACGTCTCTGAAAGGACAAGGGGTTGAAGAGTCTATCTTTCGGTGGTCTGCATTGCTTAGAAGCCCGATGCACTTCTGCCCGCCTCCGGGCCGATCGTCCTGGAAAGAGGTTGGGGGGTTGGGAAGTGGGACATGCAGCGGTTCCGCAAATCAGGGATTGCTTGATCACAGCTTCGATCTGTTGTTTATCTATGATCAGAATGTAATTAGGTTATCCTTCTGGCAGGCATCCGAAGTCGAAGAATTGTATCATTGGCTTGTGTCGCTACCGCCCTACTTACCCCGGCCTCTCGCCGGTTCCACACTCCAGAGTCTCTAGAGGTTTAGGGTTTAGGGGGCCATTCTGGTAAACAGCAATAGGTCCTTCTCGCACAGCACCACGTCGTACTCGTGTCGCAGCATGTACGCCGCAGCGTTCCCTGCGATGCCTGGTCCACTGAGGCATTGTGGATCTAGGGCTCACTACACCAGTACTTACTTGTACTGGACGCAGTAGGAGTTGTGGTAGCCGTCGTCGTAGTAGTAGTAGTAGTAGTAGTAGTAGTAGTAGTGGTAGTAGTAGTAGTAGTAGTAGTAGTAGTAGTATAGTAGTAGCAGTAGTAGCAGCAGTAGTAGCAGCAGCAAGATACCAGCAACACAAATTCTGAACTACAAACAAGACGAACAAGTACCAGTCATCATAGTAAGAGGCCTGATCCGACCACGCAAACCCGCGGCTTTCCCTCGGCGGCCACTCCGGCAACCGAGTCTAAGGCTCCACCGGCCTCAGAATTCAAGGAGGAAACGAGGCGGCTTAGGGTTCACAGTGAGAGTTTTGGAGCATCGACATGTGGTGGATGGGGAAGCGACGAAGTTGAGGGGCTTGCGGCTGGAGGCATTGAATTTTATTCGGGACTTGGGCTGCAGAGGTATGTGCGCTCACGCAGCCCGCTAGATGTACAGCCCTGTTCCATGGCGACGGTATGCTTGTCCAAACTTCTTAAGCTGAGCAGACCGTGCAGTGCTGGGAAGGACTGAAGCTTACATCCTGGATAGCTGTAGAGCTATTGACATGCAGGCCTCCATTTCTGTTAGCTGTAGTTGTGGTACAGTCCCAAGTCCAGTTGAGAGTTGCAAGTTACAAACAACTTACTCAGAAGTGCTGCAAGGGAGCCGCGGGCGTGGGGCCCTGCTCGTCGTGGCCGTTGGGCGTGGCACGGGCTCCATTCGGCGGACCCGGCGACGGCTTGGCGCCTGCGTGGCCTTGGACGGTGACGGCCGTGTTCTCCGTTTGGAGTGCCGCCTGCGAGGTGGGCACTTGAGAGGCCACTGGGTTCTCGGCAGCGCCTGCAGCCAGGTGCTGAAGATGAGACACCACCCCCATGGTGTAGCTGTCGAAGGTATGCATCTGAACACCATGCTTCTGGCAAACCTTCTGCATGACCGCTCGAAGCTGGGGTAGATGGCTGTGGTCCACCGTCGGGAAGCAGTGGTGCACAGACTGCAGGTTAAGGCCACCTGACATAAACCAGTGGATAGGAGAATTCACCGCGAAGTCCACACTGTGCGTAAGCTGGTGCTTGTACCAACACTCTGAAGCGGCCTCATCTGCCTCCCCCTCTGTGGTGTGGTTCAAGTGGGCCAGCTGTGTGTTCAGCATGAAGAGCAAGGAGAACACCGCAGCCGGGTAAGCGGCCCAGAGGAGTCCCCAGAATCCGAATCGCCAGACTGGCCAAACGTAGAAGACCAAGCGCTGGAGCAGCAAAGCCAGCAGTGACGTGGCCGTGACATCCGGCGGAACATCCTGTTTCAGAGACAGCCCGAAGGCAGCACTGAGGTAGCGGTAGGAGTAGAGCACTTGCAGTCCGATGGGCACAGCGATGGCCCAAACGACCGGCACCACAGCGAGTGGGGGAGGGAACTTGCCCGGCCTGACCCAACGGCGCACATGCTTTGCGTCGGGATCCGCATCTGCGATGTTGGTCCAGACGTGGTGGCACGCAACGTGTTGCCAGTACCACTCATGGGGTGCGCCAATCAGGAAGCCTGAAAAAGTGAGGAGCTCATTCACCCAGGCTTTCGTCGACAGGGCCCCATGGGATGCATCATGGAAGGTGTGGAAGGTGGCTAAAGCGCCAACCCATGGGAGGAGCAGGAGCCCCGAGTAAGTCCCCTGGATCCACCCGTAGAAGCAGAAGGCGTAGACGGACCACAGCAAAGCAATGAGACCCCACTTCCACAGCGGAGCCTTCAAAGCCTGCCGAAGGCTCACGCCTCGCTCCTTAGCTGTTATATATATATATATACGAACATACA